CTTTTTAACTCTTTCATAGAATAAAATTATCTGTTCTTTGCAAAAAATTAGAGTTTGTATAAAATCTGGCACATCCAATTCAAACTTAGACATATATTCTGATTCTCGTATTACTTCGTAAATATAAGGATCAAAATTTAGACAGTATTTATTTGTCTTTGGATGACGCACAAGCATAGGAGATGATAATGCTAAACGAACCTAATAATTAAAATTATTTTATAATTTATATGTTTAGAATAATAATAATTTACATGTTCAATTTCTACAACATTTTTAAAACCCTTAGAAATTTATGTAAAAATTAAAAAATTAACTTAAATAAAATGTTTTTATTTTTTAAGTTTATAATTATTTTGAGTTCTATGAAACAAAGTAGTTTGAAAAATATTACATCTATTTTATGTCAAGAGAAAATAAAGAAATATATTTATTTAATTTCAAAAATAATTTAAAGCAAGAATTTGAGAAATATCCATGTAGCAATTAAATTAAATAATAATGTCAAACTCACAATATTAGCCGAATCGTACCAAGCTTTATAATATATTAACTCGTAATGAATGAACACACTGACAAGCGCGTTGTACATTTTAATACATTTCTGCATGGAATTATGAGTAATCACTCTCTGATATGATCTAAATATATTCATAGGGATTTCAATGCGTTGATATAATTGTCGAATCCACAGAATTCTACCGGCAATGGGTGGAATATTTCTTGGTATAGGTGGATCGGATCTAGTTTCATTATATTTATCGCGAATATCTTCGACTTCTCGTTCGTACATTGAGATGAGTTCTAAGCACTTTCTATCAATTCTCAGTTGTTTAAGATGCAATTTTTGGAACCTGATGAAACCTAATATATATCAATATCTTCCTACATAATTAAAAAAAGTACATTCAAATACCTAGCTATTAAATCTAAACTCTGTGTTATGTTCGGCACAAGAGAAACGCAGTTATAAAAAAACGTTCTAAGCTCCACGTCGGTTTCCGCTATATTCTTTTTGAATTCATCGTAATCAGCATCGAAATACGGTTTTCTATGATCTAAGGGATCATACTCCTGCGAAGAAATCTTTTCAAAATGATCTGTATACTTTTGTGCATATGTATTAATTCCTTCTATAGTTGAACTATGCAAAATGGAGTACATGAGTGCTGCTTCAAGAATATCCACGATCTATATTATATATTACGAAATAATAATATAATTTCTTCGGTAGAATAATCGTGACTTATTTTTGTATTAATATCTTATTACTTACTTACTTTTATTATTCTTGTCTTAAAACTGCTAAACTTCCCAAAAACATACATTTCAGACACTTCGAAAGGCTTCTCGTCTGGAGATTCTTCGACCTTCTTACACATATCAGCATAACAGTTATGATATGTCTCGCAAAGCTTAATGCAATCCTATGAAATAATCACTGATATTATGGTTTAATTTATCATTGACAAAAAAATATCAATTTCATATGTTTTATCTTATCTTTACCTTTATTTTAGATATCATAGTACATTTTGATTCATTCCAAATGCTTAATTTTCCATTCTCTGTTAAATATGCTTTACATGCCAGTATCATTTGATTTGTTATCTAAGTCAAAATTATAAATTAATAAAGACAATAATTTATTTATTAAAACATAATTATATATTTTTATATATTACAATTTTTAAAAATAATTTATCGAAAGAATAAGATTAATTGACTTTTAATTATTTTAATCCAGATAATTAAAAACAATGATTCAAGTTCTGATTGATTAACAACTTCAAAAAAGAAATACCTTTACGTATACAGCGGTAACCATTTTTCTCGTATTGAAAAATCGAGACGTAGCATAAATCATTCTTATGGCATACATGAGCGCAGGTAAGTAATCTCCAATTTTTGTTGGATTCAACCTGTACAACGGTTGTGTGAATTTTTCTAAACCATACAGATATTTCACATTATCTTGCGACAGAATGTGTATCATCGTAACATGATCTTCTAACATCTTCCATTTCTGTGTATGTAAAACGCAGCGATATGTATGAAACATAGCGATACATATTACAATTTACAATTTATAATTTTGTACTTTAATTAGTTTAGATTTCGCTTCTGTTAATAATTGTATAAATGCTTGGGTATAAGGAGATTTTATATGACTCATTATTGATGAAAATCGGCCAAGTAATCGCCTCCAATATGCAAGTTCTACAGATGGTCCTACAGTTTCAGTTTCTCTGCGTAATTGTTGACTTTCGACAACGACCTAGAAAATTGCTCTATAAAATCGCAAAACTTCATTAAAAGATACATGATGAAAGTAATACCCGTTCCATCAACTTCTTCCATATTCGGACATCAGCTTCTGCTGCTTTAATAACGTCCGGCTTATGAATGCTCTCTTTAATATTTTCGGGCAATATCAAATACTTCTGGTAAAAATCGAAATTAATTTGAAAACATACAATGTTTTCCAAATCTATTTTAGTCACTGTAGAAAGAGAAAAGAAAGTCTTACAAAAAAAAGATATACATGATATTTAGAATAAGAATTGTAAGTTATTTACTACTAAGAAACTCGCAAAAATCTTTAAAATCGCCTATAAAATCATCTTTTATCTTTTCTCCAGCTTCGTTCTTCGACAATTCTCCCCAGCGCGTATTAGCAGTTAATGTTCGGGTATGCAAACGTGAAATTAAATCAGATATTCCTGCCAACGTATTCCGAGATTTAGGATCTACTTCTGCGTATGCATAATATGTTTCCTAGATATAAAATAAGAGCAATAAACAAAATATTGAGAAAAAAGGAAATAAAAAGCAAGAAATATGTAAAACTAGATATAAATATGTAAAATTTATATATAAATATATAAAATAAATTTCAAAAATGCTATATAAAATCAAGATAATTCATGATAATGTTTTATATTAATTTTTTGCTTACATCATATAATTGTTTGACTCCAAATTCCACGTTTGACTTTAATCGATAAACTATAACACACCTGCCTGAGAATTCTTCAGTAGTACCATCTGTTATGCAACAACGTATAATTTGCTGTTCTTTGCCGAGTTGCGGCGTCCATCGCCCAGATTCTGAGATTATGTAAATTTTATGTATAGTATCGTGATGTGGGATAAAAATTATTGACGTAATAGCTCTCGATAGTGGGTTAAAATTGAGCGCAAAAGAAATAGAAAAATATCCATTATTATACCAAATGGCGGAGGAATCATGGGCTGAAGATATACAATAATTGCTCGTCTTCCATCTTCAGCAAAGAAACTGCTAAATACATTCACATATTCATCTTTATCGAGAATTCCTTCTTCTAGAAACTCAGGATCAGTATTTAAAATATATGCAATGGTCTCCAAAACATGTCGATGTGTAATTCTCAATAACCCTTGCCTAGCATTACGATTTTCTTTGACTTTTGCCTAAAATAAAAAGATCTATATGTAAAAAGATCTATATGTAAAAAGATCTATATGTTGAACAAATTTTTCTACCAACGTAACACTAGCGTAAAAAAATTACAGATCAGTTTCACATTTAAATATTATCTTATATTCTTTTTGTTTTTCTGCTTAATGAATTTTAAATAGCAAAAACCACTTCTAAAAGGTTTCAATTATATTAGAACGCTACTAAAACATAATATTTCAAAATATATTACATATAGATACAATCTCAAATATTATAAATCTATAAAGATATTTACAAGACGCTCTTTTGTACTCTCAGTGGGTAAATCTTCCCTTGCACCAATCCTCCTTTTCACTAACTCTGCAATTCGTTGATCAATAGCTGGTTTCGTGTAATCTCGCGAAACGGAATATGTATTTGCCATTATTACAGGAAGAAGAAATCACGAATGTTAATGAATAGAAAAACTTAAAAAAAGAAATATAACTACGATTATGGATATGTTCAATTCTGACAATTCCTCTACAGTCAGAAATTATGCGTATAAGGATAACGTGATAGATAAATAAATGAATATCATAGAATATTTTTCAAATAAATTTATTAAATTTATTAGAACACCAACGCGTGCTTTATATGCACTACATATTCTCTAAATCCTTTTTTTATTTTTGATTTGCTCATTTTTATTTGTGTGAGTGTAACACATAGATTTATAAAGTACTATTTAAATATTTTTATTATAACCTTTCATTAAAAAATTATAAAAATATTTTGTAAAACAATTATCTGAAACAGTTTTGAAAAGAAAAAGAGAAATTTGCTGTTTGTTGATGATAAAATAAAAGAAGCAGAAAAAACATAATTAATATTTTCTAATATTCTCTAATTTTTTGTTTGTTTATAATTTTTTCGCTGGACAAAAAATTATTATTCATGAACAAAAGTGGGCGAATTATGGATAATAAAATGCAATACTAATTTTATAAACTCCATGTACATATTGATAAATATATGTACTACTATGTTAAAGTTAATCAGTATTTTAGTCTACAACAAAAATTGTTATACGGAGATATACAATTATATAAGCATATTGTTCTTTAACATATTGCATTTAAGCATATTGTTCTATGAATTGTGAATGCAGCATGAATATGCATCAAAATGCGATTTTATTGGCAGTTTTGGGAAATGGATATATCTACGTAATTCCAAATTTAAAAATGGATTTACTAGTGATAATAGACAACAAGTTTTGATCTACGAAAAAGGCCGGGATAATCTCTTCCAGATTTCTCTCAGGTGTGACACAATATTGTTTTTACATATTGTTTCTAGAGGGCAATCATCTTATTTGAGATATTATCTAATGGTTTCAATCATATTTCTCTTATGTTCATGGATGTGGGTTTTTCCCAGAATTCTCTTATATTTCTCCAGCATCCCTTAAATTTTTCTTTTTTACTTTTATTTTTAACGTGAAATTTTACTCTTGCTCACCCTCATCTTTATACGCACTTTAATTATAAAAGAATTTCGTAATTTTGCCCCCTATCCAACTCCCTATCCAAAGATTAACTAAACCAAAGACTAACTTCCAAGAAATGTTGGAAATTGCTTAGATCTCTCGATCGTCTCAAAATAGATCTCGGAGCATTACAATTTTAAGCGCCTCACTTATTACAAATTCCATTTCATATCTACATACGTCGGCGTAAGCATGACAATTGTGCTATAGCGACGCACGCATGATGATTATGATGCTTATGATGATTATGATAAATATTTAGATACCGCGCGCGCATGCCCAGAGGACGCTCGCGATTGATGCGATTCGCATCAATGCCGTGGCGGCCTAGACCTAGACGCGAGCGGTACCATATTTGTAAAGAAAGGTTAGCAGAAGAGAGTCGTACGCGTGTATGGATCGCCCTAAGGCAGGACCCACAAGCGAGGCTGAAATTTTAAATTGAAAGTTACACTCGGCGAAAAGAATCGATGCTGTCGTTGCGTTTGCTGCGCTCGCGACGAGAAACGAGAAATTCGTGCAACAGTTTCGTGACGTGTCGCGTGGCTTGTCATCTGACAGGTGCGAATCAGCTGTGTGATTCGGGAGTACACCGTTCTACCACGTTGATCTCTTGTATTTATATCGTTCTGCATCTTGGCATTCTAACGAGATATGAATGGTCATTCCATTTGGAGAGACTCGATTGTGAATAAATTTGTTTTCTTTCAAGCTTCAACAAGATAATTCCATTTAACCCATTTCCTCCGCGCGCGCGAATTACTGAACGAATAAACGATAACGTCAATGATAAGATACACAATTTTACGTCAGTTTTACATTGATTTTTCAACAAATTCAATCCTATTCTCACGTGAGATTGACGGTTCTTGTAAATTATGTTTTTCGCCTATCCATGTTGGAAGAGGAGTAAATCTTTGTTTTTAATGGCACAACACATACCTATAATTAATATCTGCTTATTATTCCTTAAGCACAACTCATGTAAATGTATATAGCACTATCCTCTTTGAATTTTATTTTGTATATAATAATATGAACAATATCAAGTTAATTTCTATCTAATCTAATCCAATCTTATATCATGAATTTTAAACCAAGTCTATCTTGCAATTTTCAGACAAATCTACATGCCTATATCAAAATATATAATATTTACTCCAAATCATTTCCTGCTTCCTTATTGCATAAAAATATATAAATGATGATATAAATTATATGACATATTATTATTATGAGAAAGCATTTTTGGTAAGGCAATGGTGATTTTTTTCAATTGAGAAATTCAACGAAACTATGCTAGATATTTTACTTCACCGAACACAATGTTTAAATTGGAATCCTACATAACACCAGTAATTCTCAGCTATGTAGAAAAATATGTAAAAAATTTTAAGCCAGAACAGTCACAGGTATGTACACGTGAGAAGGACTTTGCTTTATTAATTTTGTTGTAAATTATGTTTTTTAAAAACATATATTTCCTTTTTAATAATATTGATATTTGAAGCAAAAAAAATGAAATATAAAAATTAAAAAATGTAAAATATTTGCTTTTGTTTTCAAACTATAAAACAATAATTAGTCTTGTTTTAAAGTATTCAATGAGTTTGTAATATATGAAATAAGCTATATTTAATGACGTTTCTTAAAACAAGAGATCTGTTCTTTGTCACAATATTGGACTGTATTAAAACTTTCCATCTCTCCTTTCACTAAATTTCAAATATATATTTATCTGATTTTAAATACAACAAATATACACCGGTTTAGCTACGAAGAACAAACTTAAGATAATTATTTAAGATATTTTTTAGAGAAAAAAACATTTCTTTTAGGTATCTTTGTGGGGCGGAGATGCATCATTTCAGAATTTGGATCTACGATTAGAAGTATTGGAGGAACAACTTAATCTTCCATTTGTCTTTGTTAGTGGTCATATTCATGAATTATTGATACACGTTCCTTGGGTAAAAATTACATCTGAGCCAATAGTTGTTACTATTAATACTATAGGTAAATATTAATATTATAATATAATCTAATATATTAAAAATATTATATTTCTTGAAAATGTTTTAATATGTTATTCTTCAATATGTTTTTTTCAGAGTGCATTTTAAAATTGAAAGATGAGAATTCCACAGAAACTAATACAGCGACGATACAAAAGAAGAAAGAGATGGTACAGTAAGTATCAATTTTTATGATCTACAATTGTAATAAAATTTTATCCTTATTTATTCTTATTTCTGTACGTTTTTATTAATATTTACTTGGTTGAATTCCTTTATTTAATAGTTATTAATATTTATTTAGTTGTTTATATTGTATAATATATATAATATTTTAATTTGGCAGAGAGGAAGCTCCACCTGGATATATCAAAAGTATAGTTACAAAAGTCATTAATAATATTACCATTCATTGCAACAATCTTATCTTGAAATATGTGGAGGAAGATATTGTGCTTAGTATAAATGTCAGATTTTTAAGTATGCAAACAGTTGACAATAAATGGGAGCCAGCATTTGCCGGTAAATATTTTATCATATACAATTAAAAATTGCTTTTTAACATGAAATTATGTTTGTAATTAAAGTGTTTTGATATATTTTAATTAAAATATATAGAAGTCAACACTCAAGAGGTAATGCTTAGGAAAGTTATTACTATCCAAGACTTGACATTGTGTTTAGATAAAATGGATGCATCAGGAAAAATAGAAATATATCAGGTATTTTATATTTTTCCTGAAAAAATCTTGACTAAAATAGATAAGAAAATTCATAATTGAAATAATATAGATAATATAGATTGAAATATTAATTCATATAGGATCCCGTTTTGTATCGATGCTCAATGACAATCCGCATGATCATAAATTATCACAACAACACTTTAAAAAGAGCATCCATCACAAGACTCGATCTTCATTGCGAGAAAATGGAATTTAGTATGACTGAACAACAAGTACCGATGCTCCTCAGACTGATAGCTCTAATAATGGCGTTACAAACAAAACAATTTCCACCAATCAAAGAAAAATCTTCCATTACTATGGATGAGAGAGAAGATGTTGCACAAGGTTCAACAATATTATTTGAATGCCTTATCAAATAGTTTGAGAATATGTTTGAGAATATGTTTATCAAAATTTCAGATGATACAAATCAGCTAACAGGAACTTCTACAGATGCGGTTGGATGGGGTGGTTGGGCTTGGGATATAGTATCATCTGTTCTACCCGTTGATAATAATTGGTCTGCTGAACAACAAATGGCATATTCTGGTCATACCATACATTTAGGTCTTTATATAGATGATGCTACTTTAACATTTAAGGTACAAACAATAATAGAGTGTTATTTAAATAATTTGAAAATAAAAAAGTTGAACTTATAACTTATGTATTTTTACAGACTGTTGAAAGTGTCAAAGAACAGTTATTTTATAAATCTCGAAAACTTAGGTACAAATCTTTTTTATCACTTCAATTAAATGGAGTTGTGATAGATACTTTAATTCAAGGAATTGCAATGACGACCTTCCAAATTGGAATAGCGTACGTACAGCTTTATCCACGAGGCACATGCAGCTGTGGGTATCTAGAAGTTGCTGATGGTGTTCAGGTAAAGTGATAAAGTTATTATTATTAGATATGAAATTAAATGGAATATTTGAGAAATAAATTGTTATTATAGCCGCCTCTTTACGTAACAGCTGGGAATTTGAATATTGATTATTTAAAAGATTCATTATTTGATAAAGAGGCCGCAGAAAATAAGGGAAAGAAAAGAAATTACAAGCCAGGAATAGATCATTATTTATCAACAACTTCAAGTATGATATCATTGATTAAAAAAATGTATAATATACAAGAAAATATATATCTTATATATATATATATAGAAAATACTAAACTCTTAATAATCGTTTTTAGTCGAAAAATTATTAGAAAGATGCCCAGCGTTTGTAATGGATTATATTTATTATGTGGAATTACCCGATGACATAACTCCTGAAAAATTGCTCGAATTTGGATCAAATTTTGAATACAGGTGTTTGAAAAATTTCGAAATAATCATATACGAAAGAAAAGAATTGTTATAAACAACTTACCTTTTACAGCAATTTTCAGGAACACAGAGTAGTAAGATATGTAACTGGAGATTTAACAATCAGATTATGTTCTGGTATTTTTCATCGTATTGATACTATTAAACAAGCTGCAGCAAAGTATGATTATAATCCCTATCTTATAATAAAACCAGGTAAAATATATGTGTTAATGTACATATTTTAATTATCATTTTATACTAAATAAAAATTATAAATAAAAGCTATAAATTACATTTAAATTTCAATTTTAGATCCTCTTATCGATGAATTGCCTCCAGTCACATTGGAAGAATATGAGGCGCTCAGAGAAAATGTATCAATGACAGAAACAAAATTTGTATTGAAAAGAGCATCGTTACAAATACAATTGGCAGATCATTGCATCGTAGGAGTGCCACGGCAACGTAAAATTATCGAAACTCGAGTATGATATTTTATTATATTTTTTGCTGATTATTTGAAATATACATGAATAATATGTCTTTCCAGACTACGCCATTATCTCCAGCTCTTACGGATGATCCTTTTGTAAGCATTGAATGTGATGAAGCAATTGCCACTATAATACAACCAATGTATCCATTTAGACTTGTGGCTTGTGCATCAAAATTAACAGAGCTATCACCAGAAATGTTTACTCAATGCCATGCGAATACTGATATACAAGTGAGTAAATTATGTGATATGTAATGTTATTATGAATGTCTTTAATAAGATTGATATTAAAATATTTACATAGGTGACTGGAGCAAAAAGTCAACTTCACTTAACAAAAACTTGCGATACTTCAATAGTAATACCTTACTCGGTCGAAGCTTCTTCAAAAATATTATTGTATCCTCAGTATTGGCGAGATATAGACATGATTCAAAAGTCATATTCTTTTCAATCGGATAGTGTTACCATCACGGGGACTAAGGCAAAATTAATGACTGCAGTATCGATTGTAACTTCTGCTTTTTATCCTACAGATACAACGAATCTACTTACGTGTTCTACACTTTTTAACGATGCCTGTCAAGAAAAATGTACGCTTATACTAAATTCTTTATTTTATGAATTTTTTTAATATTTGTTTTTTAAATATAATATAACATTTTTTTATACATTACAGGTCCAGTGTACTTAGAATTATGCTTAGAAAATATAAGTTGTAAGAATGTATCATCTTCAGTTACGATATCGAATGAAGCAAATATAAACTCTATAAAAATATTTACTTTTAATGATTCTCAACAAGCCTTTATTTTTTCGGGTCCAGAAAATCGTGACAGGTGTGCACATATAATCTAGGAAAATTAATTTCAAAAATTTTCACTAATTGAATCTTTATATTTTAGCGACACAGGAAATGTATCACTTTTGTCTGCTGTGATACAATTTCCTAAAAACATTGAAATGCAAACGCACCCACCTCTCATTTCGTTTAAAATTGCCGAAATCAGAGCTTCCTTAGATCCACTTTTCTTTGAATGGTTGGAATATCGTATCACTTATCACAAATCAGGAAACATATATATACGTTCGGATAGTCAACAATTCATTACCGAAGGTACATCATCTGATACAGGAACAAGGAAGAAAACATTTCCAAGTCTACACGAAAGCGTACATAGCTCGTCAGACAAAGAGAAAAAAAGATCAGCTATGACAGAAAAATCAAAAACACTACGAAATGATGAAACGCAAAAGAAAAGTGAATTTAAGCTGGAAGGAGAACAACAGGTATTAAAATATTTATAAATATATTATTTATATATGTATTGTTATATACGATCATATTAATCGATTATTGTTTACTGATACGCCAAAACGATTTCTTTTACATAATATGGTAATTTACGTATATTAAAAACAATTAAATGAAACTTACAGAAACCGGGAATATTGATGAGATTAGCAGAGACATATTCGTGGTGGTGCAATCTTGTGCTAAATGGTTATATAGGACATATTATCATTTATATACCCTCTGATACAATGAGTGGTATTGGAGCTGATGGTAAATATTCTAATTATATATAAGAGAAAAAAATAAAAATTGAGTTATTTTTAGATTCATTTTTGTTATTAATGAATTTTGGTTGTTTAATAAATATTAATGCACTTTAGCATAAAAATAATTAATAAAATATATTACAAGGTATAGAACAAGCGAAAGATAGAGCTTTAATGGAAAATCAAGATTTACAAATAATGATAATAAAGCTACCAAGTCTTCTTATACACTCATCTAATCTGAATGCTGAGATGCTGAATCCATATCTACAGAATCTTCCTGCTAAATTACCGGAATCAATGTGGACATGTCGTAAGTCTCTATATAAAAAAAAACACGTACAAAATTATATAAAATTTATTATATTAAATTATTTATAATAAAATATGTCACGATAAAACATAACTTCTTATATATTATTGTTATTACTATTTTAGGAATGCAAAGTTTTCCATGGACATTAAGTCTTATTGATTTTCATTGTTATACGTTACAACAGCAAAATCAAAAAAAATTTTTTAAAAAAAAAGTTTATATTAAATGCTACAGTAGCTCTTACAACTAAGACTGCTACAACTCAGTTAAATATACTTACTGCTTTAAGTGTTTGTGTACACATTGATAATTCGCCTATTATTATTTCATTCTCGGAGGACCAGGTAATAAAAATGTATTTATTCTTTTATTTATTATTAAGTGCACAAAAACATGTTAAATACATTTTTGTTTCTTAGGTTAATTTTATGAGCAATATAATTTCAAATATTATAAAAATATTACAAAGTTTATGTACTTCTCGAAACGATAATGCAATTATACCACAAATGAGCAATGAAATGCAAATTGTTCTTCCTGCTATACCTCAAACTCCATCCACTCCGACTCAAATGATGTATCAAGAAGATACTACCAATTCAACTATGTCTACATCAAAAGATGACTTGGGTAAGCTAAATATATTTCTGTTATATTTAATTTTATTGTTAATATACAAATTTTACAGAAAAAGACGATTTAGTTGTAACAGCATGGATTCAGTGGACCATAACAAAAGTAGCAATAAAATTATACATTATGGGACAAGAAGATACACCGTCTTTAAAATTAATGTTGGAATTGGAAGATATTATAACATCTTTAGATTTGCAATCAGTTTATATGCAATTAAAAAATAAAATAACAACAGCTACAATATTTCACTATATTAGGTAACAGATTTCTATAAAATGTTGCTGCATTTATAAATTCTTAGCAAAAAGAATTAATAAAAATTTTTTTATTATTCTATATAATTATTTAATTCGTATATTTATATTGGAATTTAATAGAAGTCCACATACATTAAACTGGGACATTGGTGAATATGCTGGACTAATACTCTGTGGAAGGGAAGATAATTTAGAAAAAAGTGATGATTCTGGTTTTGTGAGTTTTACACTTACACGTGCAAAATCCGGAAATGTGTACACACGTTGGGGTACTCACAAGCGTCATAAGCCTCAAAAGGTAGTATAATTATTCAAGCATTATTAATTATTATTATTAAATAATCCAACAATATTTAAATTTTAATATAGAAGAATATTGATTATCTATTTACTTGTGAAATTAATAAAATTAATAAAATCTTCCTGATGTTTGAATATCTAGAAAGAACTGCTAATTGATTCGACGCTATCTACAAATGGCTATATTTCTGAAATACTTATCAAAATGCAAATGGTTGATATAATCCTACCAATTAGTGTAATTAGTAAATATGTTCAATTGGTGAAACCTTTTACATATCTCGGTTCATCTATCGAGAAAAGCACAGAAACTATCCACAGTAAAAACATGGCAACACCATTACTTGGTATAACCAATTTAAATAATGAATCATTGCCATTAATACATTTAGAATTCAAAGGTTTTCGTCTCATGATGCCAGCTTGCACTGACACAAATAAATTACAACATGATTTACTGATGCTTCAGGTTATAATACATTTTGCATACCTTATTAGCGATACAATATTTAAACTTATTTATATATGAATATTATATATTATATAGTTGGATGGTATTCGTATTACACCGGATGCGGAAAATCCAATTTGCAGAACTCCATTGCGCACCGACATTTATCAATTGGCCGCTCAGGCAAATATATTAAATGTACCAGGCTCCGCTGTAGAAGATCGTCAATATCAGATTAACGTTAAAGGAGTATGTGCATATTCCACTACGTGGAAGAATTATCAGCTAAGCATTAATAAGGTTTGTTATCAAAACTATATTGTTTCCGAAATTTTTAGAGATACTGTAAACATTATCCAAAACTTCAAAATATTTCTCGATAGATTTGTTAATGTAAATTTAATAATTATATCATGTATATCATTTTCAGAGAATGTCTCAATCATACTTGTATACAATGAACGAGAATCCAGCATTAGAATGGAATAAGCTCGGGAATGGTAGTAGTCTAGATCCATATTTTTCAACATCTTCAGTGTTAACAAAGTAATGCAATTAACATGCATGTCCAAATTTTCTATTGTTCTTATTTTAATTTTAATATTTAATTCTAGATTTGATCTCTGTTTAATTATTGCACCAGCTGTCACATTTAAAGGAGACATAATAGTCTGTGGAAGCGCCATTGAAGTAAATTGTATTACAGATATAGAATTGACAATAAATTTAGATCAAATTAAATTAATATCGACGCTCAATAATGAATTTATAACATTATTATCTGAAAGTTTTGAGAAAGTTGATGATAAAAATAGTTCTAATACTGTAGTTCAAAGATTTTCTTCAGGACCTCAAAATATGAAACCAATTAGTTGGTTGAAACAGACATCAGATGATTCAGATATTGATTTTACAAAAGACAGTGGTATTGATTTTGAAATGTCCAGCATGCATTCAACAGTAATTGTAAGTTATGGATATACCATTTTATGATTTAATTCAAATATTTATATTAGAGTATAATAACAATAATTTTCTTATATTAGGGAAGACCTACAGTTACTGAAACTATGATACTTTCACCATTTGAATTTTTAGTAAATTGTGGAAAAATAACACTTATTTTGTATGAAGTCCAGAATACATTCCTTGATTTAGAAGATAGTGTGGTAAGTTACGAGATTAATTTATCTAATTAATAATCTAATTATTGTTAAACTATTCATATTATTTACAGGATATGCACAAAACTGACTGTGAAGATGACAATGACAGTGTAAAGCAACCATTACTTTATATAATGATCAATCAACCAAATATTTATTTCTCTCAGCAACATTTATCTAAAAAGATACAAGTATATATTATCTTTACAAATATTACTTACAAATATTAATATGTCATTTATGTTAAATTTGTTTAAATATTTTATCTCAAATATTTTTTATTTTTATTAATATTATTACACAATATATAGGTGTCTTGTTTCGATATAACAACAGCGCTTGGTGATACACAAAATCTAAACACGATACCGACCGAAAAAGATTTCAAAATTTATATGATAGAAACAAAACATGGAGATCCACATCCAGATACGGGTATCCCGCCTTCTTTTGTGACAATAAAATCTGAAATGATTCTAAGTAAGAACCGCCAGTTTTTCATCGAAATGGGACGACCGACAAAAGTACATCTCTCTTTGTCTCGACTCAATAAACTCTATGAAATACGAAATAAGGTACTCAATAAAGAATGTGTTATGTACTTGCATTTCCAATTCTATCTTGCATTTATGTTCTAGGTATTATCATGTTTTATTGATGACGATCTTACGCAAGTACCTATAGAAAAGAAAGACATTTTTCATATGGATTCTCAAAATTTAGCAGCGCCAACAAGAGCGAGGAAATTCTGTGTACCTGATTTGCATTTAAATACAAGACAGATCGTATTATCTTTGAAAACTGATACCGGAGCAGAAATTATTATCAGCTTAGCATCATTAAATGGAAATGTATCGACGCTTGTGAGACCAGACAGGATATATTCAAATTTGTCCATAGACTCTTTCATTATATCTGCTATTTTAAATGGAAATATTAAGGTGCTGCTAAATCCGTGGTGTTGCAATGTAATAACTTGTTTACTTTGGGAGTCTTCGTATAATAGCGAGACCATCCCGCAAATACAAATACAAGCAGATAGTGAAAGTCTTTATCTCGATTTCGGACCGGATCAGATAAAAATTATGAAAATGGTTATGCAAGATTGTCAGTTACTCTTAACTGAGTTTACTTCGTTGTCTACGAGTGAAAATAAAAATGAAAAACAAATCGTGCTATCGAATGAACAACACTACAAGGATGATCTGAAAGCAGGTGCATTCCAATTTGTCGATGGCACTGCGGATGAGTTACCGTTTCCATATCAAGTGAGTGAGTTGAATAACTACATAAAAGCCTAATAAGATTAAAACAAAAAATTTAATAATTCTTTGTATCTTTACAGGTAGTATTCTTCGTTTATCCTCAGCAAGCGATGGCTTGGCGATACCCGCAACCACGCACTTTAACAAGAATACACATATCTCCCGTTCCATTTGAGGTAAATTAATACACTTAATCAGCTAAGCGTTCAATTTGAACGAATGTTTTATGTCTGAAGATGTAATAATATTCTCTATTTCTAAGCTGTGAAACAGTACTCTTATTCTCTTAATTCTTTTCTTTATAGGCAACGGATATCGATGGCAATTATATTGACAAAATTCCTTGCATTCTTGAGTATTGGAGCGATAGCCACATGTCGTATCAGCGTTATGCCGATTTTTATTTATCGGAAACTGATTCGTATCGATTAGATCTCCCGGAAAAGGCACCAGCGCGAGCAGTAGCTTGTGTATGGCGCGTGGTTATTTTATCCAACGGCAAGCGATCGCTCTCAAAAAATATAGTTTCTGCTCGTGCTCTCGCTGCTTGTCTACGCATCGATTCTTATTTCAATCCTTTGTTAATACCGAATATACAAATCGCCTTGAATATCGGCGTTCTTCATGTATCTCTGTACAATCATATTGATACAACTGTATACAACAACTTGCCACCACCACTGGATAAATATATCTTGAATGGAAAAATTCCCGAGATACAATGTTTCATGTCCGTGGAACAAAAGGGAGCTGTTCTGGTATTAAATAAATGGATAGATGATTCTATATTGCTCGACATTGGCGGCAGCCTGAGTATACACATATTGGATTACAGTCATTTAACTATGCAAGAAGTGCTGGACGCCCTAGAAGGAAGATTTCAATTGTCGTTGTCGGACAAAATAGACATATCCTTAACATGCAACCCTTTCACATTGAAATTAGGCCCAACAATAACTCACACTCTTGCAGTTTCCACTCATTTGTGGTTGGCGTCTTTTAATGAAGAAGAAAAGAGCGTAATTGTGCTAACACGTTACGTAATTGCCAACGATAGCAATATACCCATACGTTTTGGTCAAAGTGGTACTGGAGATAGTATACTTCTTGAGAGCAGACAATGTAACTTTTATTCTTGGCGACAAATTGGCAATCAAACAATACGAATATCGATTGAGGAGAATGCTTGGGTGTGGAGTCGGCCGTTTCCTGTTAACAAGGATGGAATTCAGGTGATAGAATTCAATAATTCGGTGACTAATACAGCAGTCTTCGTAAACGTTACATCACTCTCCGCCACGCAAAAGCTTGTAACATTTTCGGGACAACTTGTAATTTCCAATCAATTAATAGATAATTTTGAGATGAGATTGGTAAAATACGAAGAAGTTTGCTCAAAAGTGACAGTGTCCAAGGAGGTATATCCTATTCCGGGCAAGAGCTTTCCGTCATCTATCATGCTTGAAAACAACAAAAAGATGGCTATGCGGCTACGTTTTACTAATTTAACGCATTTGTCTTGGACTGGAGATATTCCATTGCAACCCAACATCAAATGGGGCCAGCCGTGGCTCGTCAAAGTACCTCTGCAAGAACGTGGTCAATTCTTGAGTATCTGGGTACGGATTGTGACGCAAATGATACAAGATAAAGTGAAAATCCTCGCAGTGCTAAGTCCCCTCTATATGATCCGATCGCATTTACCTGTACCGGTTAAAGTACAAATGGAAACGCCGTCACTGAAGATGTCATCGAGCACGATGGTGAACGGTCGAGGCGAGTGTCAGCAGTTATACTGTCCTGGTACGTTCGAGCACTTTCACCAGCTGACGTTTCAACTGGAATCCGGAGTTTCTGCGTCGAATCCTTACGTGCCACTTTCGTACAGTTCCGTGGATCAACGAAAATTTTTTCGAAGACCCGAGGTCGAGGACATCGATAAAATTCTGCAAGATCTCAAGAATGGAAAGGACGAGGTGAACTGGCCTTTTCAAGGAGATGATATCGAGGAATGGATATCTGCGGAACAGCCGCAGACACATGTACAAGTGAAGTACCAAGACGCAGGACTGGTCTCTAGCACTTTGCTGCTGGAACTCCAGCCTTGGTGCTTCGTAATGAACTCGCTAGGCTGCCACATCTCGTTAGTATCGGAGGATACGGAACTTTGCCAGATCCCTCACTACGGCATAGTCACGCCGCCCAAGTTGGAAAGCACTTTTCACGTGGGTGTCGGTATCGGCGACACTTACTACACGTCCCCAACATTACAATTGGCACGACCCGATTGGAGCCAGAGCTTCTACATGCCTCGAATCTGCGGTCTCGTGCCAGTGGAAGGAACATCAAAACATCCGTGGATTGCGGCACGAGCGTGTCCATCCTGAACATCGGTTCGTCCATGCACGAAGACATGCGTTTGGTACGGATTACGAGCAGCCATGTGATCGCAAATCTGACGTCTCAGGAATTGTGCGTGGCCACGCTTGCGGTGCACGAGGAAGCACGGGATCTGCCGTTACCCCATGACCTCACTCCTTGTAGTCTAAATATCTCGCCATCCGAGGACCAAAGACAAGGCACACCGAGGCTAGGCAGTGGTACACATTGTACACGGAGAGCAATGTCGAACCGCTTGTGTTATACATATCTCTTAGCCTCGGCCACAGGTGGTCCTGCCCGATCAGAGTGGACCAAACTATAAGTCGCAAATCCGTCGTGATTCCGAACGGTTCGTCCACCGTCCCAGTCATCGTGACGACGCAGGAGGATAAAGGCAGTACGTTCATCGTGATACACGACGACGATCATCCGCAATTGTTAATCGAGAACGCTTGCGGCTTTAAGATCCTGCTGGGTCAAGCGGATGAAAGAGGAAACGAGATATTACCGGACAGCGTTCATTTTACATGGATATGCGAAGTCGACAGCGGAGCAACGTCCCATTATTCTCTTCCCTGTGTCAGTAACAGACTACCTGACACTGCAGTCCCGAGCGCGTCGAACGTGTTATTATTTTCCACCGTGCAAAATGATCAGATAGCAGGGAAGGCGAATCTAAAGTGGTCGAGAGGTGTTAATCTATCTGCGTTGTCATCTACGCCGATAGATCAATATCTACGACTACCTTCCTATGGTGACGTAAAACTCATAATGTATAATCGCTGTTACACCACTCACATAAGCGTCGTGCCTATCTCCCAAATTGAAATATCCGCCCAAGACATTAGAAGCAGATTATTGCGAAAGAAAAATGCGGCGAAAGATCATGACACCACGTACAATAATTCTCCACCGTTGAGAAGATCAGAAGAGGACAAGTTATTACCATATGTACAAAATTCGAGTAGTTCAACATCGTTAACGAGCTTTTTCTCGGCTCAAGAAGATATCTTGATGATGGAACAGATACCTGTCTCGTCCAGTTCAAAACAGATAATTCCAAAGATGGCAGATACAAAAGCTTGCGTTGACGAAAATCGTTTGAGGTCTACCGATGACGCTAATTCAATTAATTCAAAGGAAGGCTCTGTAATAGCTTATCTGCGTGCATGTACTATCGTTATCCTCCATGATATCAATGAAAATGCACAAAGGATCGAAGTCGCAAACTTATCTATGACGGATTTGGTCGTCACCGTGAATTCAAAGGCCAGATTTATTAATCTCTATTGTTACATAGGTGATTTACAATTAGATAATCAATTGTTCGATCAAGGAGGTTTTGATTTTCCTGTAGTACTGATAAATCAGAATCCTTTACCGAACAAAGAAATGGCATTTTTTAGTAATAATTGTTTAATGACGAACATGGAAAAAATTAAACAAGATTCTTTGATCGCCATCGAGTACGTCTGGGAAAGAAACGGAAGTACGATAGGTATATATCTTATATTTATTATGAAATATATATATATATCTCATATTTATTTATATCTACTAAAAAGGAGAAATATTTAGATAAGGAATATTGTTTTTCTAAACAGTTAAATCATTTATTTCGTGAATAATATATTTATCTCTGTTGCAGCATCAAAGGAATATCGTATGAAAATTGCACCTATTAGTGCGTACATTGAGGATACATATATAACGCAATTATTAGATTATGCGACTTCGATGATACCACCACGTTTGGTACTGAGTGACGGTGTTAAAAAGATACAACCAGTAATTACGTCGAACGCAATGTATATACCGGAGTACATTATGATCGATTCAAAAATATTAAGCAAGCCACTGAGATTACAAAACTTTGTGATAGAACCGTTATCGATTTTATTAAGCGTTCATACTTCTATGCGGCTCTACATTGCTTTGGATCATTCTCCGTTATACTTTGGTACCTTTGAAAGAAAGAACTTACTGACTACCCCTTACAGGCTTGGCAATGCACTTACCATGCATTATTTATCTGGTGCCATATTCGGAGCAGGTCGACATATATTATATTTATATAATATATTATTTTATTATAATAATAAGATAAATAACAAAATTCATTTCTTGCTTTACCAGGCTGGGTAGTTGGATCATTAGAGATACTTGGATCTCCGGGAGGTCTGGCACAAGCGCTTGGATCCGGTCTCAGAGACTTTGTTTCGTTGCCATTCCAAGGATTATTACAAGGTCCATGGGGTTTTATCGTTGGAATTACACATGGATCAGCTAGTCTAATGAAACATGTCACAGCAGGTATAGAAATTATTTAATATTTATTACATTATTTTAAATATATACAGAGAGTAGATAATTAATATCTCAGTATGTGTATATAGGTACCGTGAATTCTGTAACGAAACTGGCATCTAGTGTCGCACGAAATTTGGATCGTTTAACATTGGACGAAGAACATCTTCAACGACAAGAAGAATCGCGCAGAATGCGTCCTCAAGGGATGGCGCAAGGACTTTATCAAGGTTTAACTGGTCTCGGAATGAGTTTGCTTGGTAATTAATTTTTTTAATATTTTTTTCAAATATCTAAAATGCAGTAGCTAATTATTAACTGTTAATCAGCGGCCGTGGCGGGCTTGGCGCATCATCCTTTACAGCAAGTATGGTCAGGTGAGGCGACAACCAAAAGTTTAGTAACCGGAGTTGGACTTGGTTTAGTTGGTGTCGTTACTAAGCCACTGAGCGGTGCTGCTGAATTAGTTGCTCTCACAGGTCAAGGATTGTTACAAGGAGCTGGGTGGAATTCGTTGCCTGCGGTAAATTCAAACAATAGATATCTTCTAATTTTTAATTTCACATTTCTCTTCCGCATCTGATTTTGATGCATTTTTACAGCCACGTCAGAGACCAGTCGTACAGTATACTACTGGCAATAACAGCACGTCTGTTCGGTATACCTGGCGTTTGTCACCCTTACTCGATCACAGCCACGACAGCATCCTTCATGTAACCAGCGCAGATTACGTGATTCATCAGGGTAGTAATCGCGCAGTGACGCTTGTCCTCACGCGACAAGCTTTATTACTTGTTAATATGGCAGAGGACAGCGTAGAACGAATATTTTCCTTGAAAGAACTAACAAGTGTCGATCATATCACGGAGTCGACAATGTTGTGTTTGTATTGTCCACCGACCGCAATACAACTGAGTAGACCTTTATCACCGGCTGAACACGAGGTAAAATATTAAGTTCATGAAAGTCAGAAATTATTTAAATCTCATATAAATATATATTTCATTTTTTTTTCTTTAAGATGAATCAAGAAATGAGAGCGCGAGTAGAGGAATACGTGCGAACAAGCAGTACTGGTTTGGCTAGTGTATCAACTAATAGCGACAGACAGTCTGACACCTTCGAGAGAGCATCCCCACATCCGGAACATACACTTACATTTTACGTTTGCCCCGATACTCGTAATTATTTATTATCACTATTCAACCAAGCCAAGCGACAAAATCAAGGTTCCGGTTTTGCCGTTTTATAATAAAATATAATTTCAAAAAAGAACAAATTGCAAAATAATTCAATGATTGAAAAAATATTTTATATATAGTTCTTTATATCAATTCAAATCCAAATTTGATATTCTTTTCATCTTTTGAATATTGAAGCACATATTTCCAGGAATAATTCAAACTTAAAGTTATAGGCAAATAGTATTATAATTTAAAAAATGAATTAAAAAAAGTGATTCTCAAATCTTTAAATAAACATAATCAAGTGTCATGTACTTGAATGGTTATTCTTATTTTTATTAAAATATATTGCGCAATTATTGCTTTTGTTTTATATAGGGAACATATGTTACGAATTTATAATATATAAATTTATTATAAATCCAGCGTATAAGCTAAACAAAGTATACAAATTCTATAAAAATATTTATAACAACGTTGTTTATTTAAAAAGGATTCATGCAAAAACGTACAAATTAAAAAAATAATATAAGCTTTATTTATAAGTCATGTAGGAAAGTAAAAAATAAATTTTTATAAACATTATTTACACATGTGACTGTATATGTATACGTAAATACACATATATGCAATTATAATAAATTTTACGTGATATAAATTGTGTTATATGTGCCAAAATATGAGCAATTTTGTTATCACTAAAATTGTGAATTATTGTGTGTAATATTGATCTACGATTCATGTATTACAATATATTTTGCATATTGTGGGCAAAATTCGGCCTGTAATAAATGCTAAAAAATGGAGTTGTATCAATTTATATTTTATATCTTCTTATTAGCTACTTAAAATATCGTGAATTCGTTCCACCTCATTTGATTTATAAGAAAGTCCACAAGATTTACACTGACTATTTTCAATAGATAATAATACTTTTCTACATACTACATGTTTGCATGGAAGTTTATAAAGAATACTATTATCACAACATTCACAAATATTAGATATGTTATGAACTTCTCTTTTTTCTGGTGTATTGAAACGTTTCATGTTCGATAATAGACTCTTTACATTGTTATCTAAAAGGTTGTCAACATCAGCTAATGATGTGTCTGATTCATTTTGTTGATAATTAAAAGAATCATTGTTAGCTACTTCGGAAGAAGTTAAAATCTTTGTGAGCTGTTTCGGTTTTACTGTAATATTGGCAGTGGATCGTTTGGAAATGATTGCTGGCAGTTTATGGCAATGTTTCTTTATACGCTGTGAATTATTATCTGTTATTTGCTTGCATATATCTGGTTTGGTATCTTCAGCAGCTCTTTTTAATGGATTCTTATTTAACACACACTTTGGTATTTCAATTAATCTTCTTCTATCTCCTGCTAAAATTGAAACTGAACTACGGCCCAAGACTCTCGGTATCTTTTTTATTTCACTCTGATTGCTATTATCCAACAGGAACTTGTCAATTCTTGATTTCAGTACAGTTGCCAAGATCGGTCTACGATCCTCACTAAATGGAATGCCAGTAAATGGATCTGATAATGATCTACCCCAAATTGCTTCCTTTTCTCCAAATTTCTCTAATGTAGTCTGATCTATTATCTTGCCACTAGGCAGTATAACTGGCTGAGTCATTAATTCCCATGTAATGGGATCTAAGAAGCTTTCAGGAACTTCAAGAGCTATATCATCCTTCTGTCTACATATATATGAAAAATATTTATATAATTTAACAA